CGGGGTCGGTTCACCATGACTTCACCCAGGGCCTCCAGCACTTCCCGCTTGTAGTCCTCAAAGTCGCCATCAATCTGGCTGACGCTTTGCTCCTCTACCACCCACAGCTGGCAGTTAGTTTCTGTGATGAGTCGGGCATCATGGCTGACGACAATCACCGCTTTGAAGAAAAGGAATAATCAGAATACACATGAAGGATGCTCTGGCTTAATGACACCACAGCTCAGAACCCAAAAAAATGGAGGTGAGGGAACGCCCTGAGCTGACTTACCACCCTTATATTCATTGATGGCCTCTCCTAGAGCGTCAATAGACTCTATATCCAAGTTATTGGTAGGCTCATCCTGCAGAGGAGGAATTCCATGACTTAGCACTTATAAGTCACGCCTCTCATTATTATTACTCTTGTTCCTGTCTCCTCCTCCCACAGTCCAGCAAGCTCACTCACCAAGATAAGAACATCAGGCTCCCGACAGGCCAGTTCTGCAAACACAACTCGGGCTTTCTGCCCACCTGTAGCACAGGAGAAGAAGGTCTATGACACTTTCTACAACCTCCTGTCTCTAAATCTCAAATGTGATTGTGTCCCGATCCCCCTTGCTTTCTGCCTCTAGTTTGTCATTAAGAATAAGGAGATTGTCCCTGTCACCCCCTTCAGTGGTACCAGAGAGTTTGCAGATTTGGATGGTGTGGGCGTGACTCTCCAAACCGAAGCGGCCCAGGCACTTCCGGGCATCCTGATAGGGCAGGTTGAAGCCTCGTTGCAGGTACTCGGTGGGTGTCTCCTCCATGCGCAGCTGCTCCGCATACTGCTGGTTGAAGAAGCCAATTTTCTGACCAAGAGGACAAGGGGGGGGTGTCAGTGAAAAAGCATACTTCCTTTATCAGGTTTTCATTTTATAACTTTTTTTTTATTATTTGTGTGTGTGCGTGTACCGTCAAATCAGATCTGACTGGTACAGGAAGAGATTGTCCCTCCTTCCCCAGCAGAGCATCTGGTGGATTTGAACCATGTGCCTCTGGGATTGCAGTGCAGCTTCTTGCCACTAGGTCACCAGAGCTCCCCACATTTTATAACTTTTAAAGCCAGCTTACCAGCCGGTGGTTCTTTCTCATTTCTCCATGAGTCTACAAGGAAAAAGCAAGTGGTAAGAAGGAGCAGGGAACAGAAATACAGCTCTATATTCCAAATCCCAAAAGGGCGTGGGAGAAATAAATACAGGAAAGGGATAATGGAAGTTCACTCTAGCACAGAAAGGACTACTAAGGAAATGAGAAGACTGAGGGGACACTGAGCTAAGAGGAAAACAAACGGAGACAAGGACATAATCAGAACCAGAACATTCACGTCCCAAAAAGGGAAATCGTGAGTACACAGTTGAAGGATTCTGCCTCAGATGGGGCAAGAGAGTGTGGGGGCAGGGCTAGGGTATATAATCCCATCTTTCTATAAATCTGCTATCTAGAAGCAGGAGGAAATTAGCCCTCTCTACACTCTCTTGGAGGGAACAGAACCTACAATCTTTCTCAAGTACCACATAGGAAGACTACAGAAGTGCTGAAAGCAATTAGAAGGACTATATCCTAAGGAAAACTGGTTCTAACTCATAAAGATGTTCCTCCCATTGCTGCTGAGCTGGAACCAACTCACAACTGCAGGTTTTCAGGGGCTCTGAATTGCCTGAGAGGAGACTATCGTTATCCCAAGTAGTCACTGGTGGACTTGAACTGGCAGTGAGATGCCACCTTTGGGTCAGCAGTACAACTCCCTATGGACTACATCTAGACAAGACATGCAAATCCAGGACAGTACAGGTATGTTGTTGTCAGATGCTGCTGAGTCAACACCTCATTCTACTATGCCTCACAAATTCTACATTTTTTTTTTAAATTTCTAATATGGAATGCTTCACGAATTTGCGTGTCATCCTTGCGCAGGGGCCATGCTAATCTTCTCTGTATCGTTCCAATTTTAGTATATGTGCTGCCGAAGCAAGCACAAATTCTACATTTTTAAAAAACTCCAACAAATTGAAGGTTTCTGGCAAACCTGTGTCAAGCAAGCCTATCAGCACCATTTTTTTCCTAAAAGTATGTGCTCATTTTATGTCTCTACACATTTTGTTAGATTCCTGACATGTTTCAAACTTTTCCTAATGTGATTACACAATTAACAGATTATAGAGTTAACACAACTTCTATATGCACTTGGAAGTCAAAAGAAATCATGTGATTGCTTTGCTGCTTTATTAACTTGTCTGCAGTAGGGTGTGGAACCAGACCCATAATATCCAGAGTATGCTTACATCATTTTTACAGTGAAAAATCAGAAATAATCTAAATGACTGATAGTTAATAGGCTACAGTACATCTATCTATCTATCTATCTATCTATCTATCTATCTATCTATCTATCTATCTATCTATCTATCTAAAACAGACATATACACAGACAATTAGTTATCTGATGTATATTATCTGGAAGAAGCAGGTTAAAAAACCGCTCCTACCCCTCCCCCCTAGTAAACCTGAAAGCAACACCCTCAAAGCCCTTCTATTTGTAACTCACAAGTTTGTTCTCTCTAGGTTTGCTCCCTTTCCTATTGTTGTTGTTGTTGTTATGTGCTATCGAGTCGCTTGCGACTCATAGCGACCCTATGTACAACAGCCCTAAACTCCGCTCTGTCCTGTGCCAATCGCACTGTCTCTGACACTCCCATCCCAATTATCCCAGTCACTGAATCAATCCACCTCATAGAGGACCTTCCTCTCCTGCGCTGTCCCTCCACCTTAACACTGAGTTTTACTCCAGAACTGATCCTGAACCCAGTGCCAGTGACAAAAAGGAAATACAACTGACAGCTAAGGAAGCAAAGGAGGATGGAGCCTCTGGGTTCAACCAGCCATCCCCACTGGACCCACCTGGGAAAACACGTTGCAGTCCAGAGGGGAGCAAATGACAGGAAAATATCTTCTAACAGAGCAAGAAGGCAAGCAGCTGTAACCCAAGACCACCAGTAAGGTGATAAAGCGTCCTCCCTTCCCCCCTTTACATCTACGCCCCTGTTCAGCATGAAGAAGCCAGAGAGTCGGCATCCAATTCCCAAATCAATAAGACAGTTGGTTTAATTACCATTGGAAAATGCTTGTCATTCCTCTGTAGCATCTGGTCCCCACTGGACCCTCATCATTTCCTTCACCTGCTCCCCCCACCGACTAAACTGTGCAGCTCTGCAGCTGCATCCTGGCCCATCCTCACCCTTCTGGCCCCAACCCTCACCTTCTTGTACCCCCAATATGTTTTTCCCAATTAAAAAAAAAGAGCTCATATCACAGGAAAAAACAAACAAACAAACAAACAAAAAACCACTCTGTTTCTAAAACATTTCATGTCTCTTTACAAAAGGGGGGGAGAAAAACTATTCACCAAAGTATTAATGTTTAGATTTTTCCTAGTTTACGCCATTTCTAATTGTACAAGGAAGATTATCACTTACATAATTAATATGAGTATGACAGGTGTGTCCAAGAAGTCTACCCCAATTGTCCTAGTTCTCCTCCCTGAAAAGATCTATTTTCTACACTGGGTCTCTGGTGAACAGCTGTATTCTTGTAGCTGTCAAACTTACCGGTGTCAACTTGCCTGTCAGCAGCAAAAGCAGGGTACTCTTCCCCACACCATTAGGGCCCACGATGCAGACTATGAGAAGGAAGAGGACGGTCAAAGATATCCCCAGTTCATTTTCCCTGTAGCTCCTGCCCCACATCTCTGGGCCAAACACCCTCAACTTACTCCTTGAATCCATGTCAATGCCAAAGTCCAGGTTCTTAAAGAGTGGCTTCTGTCCGTCATAGCCAAATGTCACACCTGAGAGGCCAGAGGGAAAAAAAACCCAATTTACATCCTACTCAGAGCCATCCCAAAAGTCTCCCTAAATGTCTAGCGCTTAGTGGGGACTGAGAAGCACTAATGTGTCAAGTGATACCTGGGCATCTGTATCCACTCACCATGCAAGCCCAGCACAGGGGGGCTGAGGGGTGGGGGGTCTGGGAAGGTGAAGCGCACAGTGTACTCCTTGGGGCGCTTCAGGAGCTCAGGGGCCTCCTGGGACTCTTCATCCTGGTTTTTCCGTCGGCACTTCTGCTGCTTTCGAGTCAGGGCTTCCTTTGTTTGCTTTTCCTGGAAAAGACGAGTAAGAAAAGAAAACCGGACCCTTCACGGCTATCCTTGACATGCAGGCTGGTACCTAGAGTCCCCACACTCATTCTCAAGGGAAGAGAGGCAACCCAACACCAGGTGCTTACTGCCTGTTTGGTGGACTTGCCACCCGCCTTCAGCTCCTTCAGCTTCTTCTCCTGTTTCTCATACTGCTTTAGCAGTTCCTTCTGCTTCTGCTGGTACATCTTCTTGAAGGTCACTGGGGACAAAAGGCAGGAAGAATTAGTAGTTGCTCCTCTGCTGGGCAGAGGACTAGTAAGGGATGAGGACTAGTAAGAATAGGGGTGGGGATCATCATCATAAATTCTGAAAAAGCTAGCTTATTACTATACCCCGAAGGGCTTCCTTCCCAGGAGCACCTTCCACCTGCTAGTGATCCTACTTACTGTAATTGCCTCTATAGTAGTGGAGTCTCTGGGCATCAAGATGGATAATATCTGTGCAAACATCATCCAAGAAGCCTTGGTCATGGGAGACGATCAGTAATGTCTTCCTCCAGCCCTGGAGGTAGCTGGGTTTAAGAGAAGGGTAAGGAACTGTCACAATGATCATATTACAGAGAAGTCAGGGGGAGCAGACAGACAAAGAGGGCAGGGAGTGAACTGTGGGTCAGAGCTGTGAAGGACACAGAAAAAACCACTTAGAGGAACTGAGGTAGGGGAAGGGCAAGGAACTGCAGAATGGAGATCAATGATATAGGAAAGACTATGATTAAGGGTAACTCACTTATTGAGCCAGATGACAGCATTGAGGTCCAGGTGGTTAGTGGGCTCATCCAGCATCAGCAGTGTGGGCTCCATGAACAGTGCCCTAGAGTGTGAGGCAGAATGGTCAGAGGGGAAGGACAGCCTTGCTCACTATACCTTTAGGAGTATCTGGTAGGGAAAGCCTAAGATAATGTACAATCTCCCAAGTTGTTCTCAGTGGAATTCCTGGGCAGATATAGATGGCAAGCTGTAACAAGGTGGGACAAGAAATAGAGGAAGATTCTGAGTTCTTATCATTCAGCTAGAAAGGAGAGTGAAACTGGTCTCAAGTCTCTCTCATGGTTTTAGAACAACAAGACAAGGAGACAGGATGTAGCTTTACAGTTAGGAGGGTAGGTGTTGAGGTGGGTGTCTCACCTGGCCAGAGACACACGCATGCGCCAGCCTCCAGAGAACTTCTGTGTGGGTCGGTTCTGCATTTCAGGATCGAAGCCTAGACCAGCCAGGATACGTCGTGCTTTAGCCTCTGCAGCTGCCGCCCCTGTGACCCTTAACTCCTCATAGACCTGGAGGAGAGAGAAGAAAACTCCTGTCTCAAGGCTCCAGGAACTTCCATCTTTACTGTAGCTGCTGTCCATTGAGCCATCTCCTCTACCTTCTCAAGCCTCTCAGCAGCTGTGTCATCCCCCCGTTCCAGCTGTCCCTGAAGTCGCCGCTCCTCTTCCAGCAGCTTCAATCGTTTGGTGTCAGCTCGAAGCACGGCCTGCACTGCTGGTGTTTCATCCGCTACCACCTCTGAGGGTGGAGAGAGCAGTCAGGATCCCCAAAGGCCTTCTCTCTTTCAGCTCCATTTAAGGTTTGCCTAACCTGACTGAACTCTGGTACTTGCTCCAAATAAAACTGTTCACTCTTTTGGCAGCAACTCTTTCCCAATGCCCCAGTCTTCTTTGTCCTCTTCAACATCATAATCTCCATTTTGTCTCATCTCTCTTGGCTCTTTCCCCTCAAATGTCCTTTTTCCAAGTCACCTGAGCTTCACCTCCCACCAAATCCCATCACCCACCAGCTCACCCTGTTCACACAGCAACACGTCGATGTTGGGAGGGATGCTCAGAGCTCGGTTGGCAATGTGCTTGAGGAGTGTGGTCTTGCCCTTGCTGAGGAATGAAAGCTCTTAGGACCAGCCACCTCTGAGGAAACACTGCTTCCCCCTCCAGCTCCCTTCCTGTTTGTACCTCCAACCCCCTCCTCTCCTCACCCATTGGGTCCCACCAGTCCATAGCGGCGGCCAGCAACAATATACAGGTCTGCATTGACGAATAACTCCTTGCCATGGGCTGAGATGCTGAACTTCTCCAGCTGCAGCCGTTAGGGAAAGAGGGAAGGCATAAGCACATAGGCTTTCTTACTTGGGACAGGAGCTGCAGCTTCTCTCTCTAGGGATATCTTCTTAAGAATGGATACCTCAACTCTAATTCCACAGCATCATATCCAGCCCCATCTTAAGCACTGCTTTAACAGGAGTCTCTCAAATCCTAAGCTGGTCCAGGTGTCCCAGCCTACTTTTGTTGCTTGTGTGGATCCCTTTTCTTTCATTGCTTAATTCAACTTCTTTTTGAAGTTGGCAGTTCTAGTGGTCTAGTCCATATAGAATTACACTGCTAAATCCACCAGTAGCTCAGGAGAAAGAGAGACAGGCAATCTCCTCCATTTGCAACCTAGGAGGTCAGCTATTGAGTTGGTTCCCACTCGTAAAGGCCATGAGAGCAGCATTTCTACTCTGTGGAACAGACCTTTCCCCCCCCCCACTCCCTGGACTACTATGACCTTAGCTAGCAAAGCCCCAGTTCTCAGATCTCACCTTGATGTCAGAGGCATTTTCTAACATGGCTTGGCGAGAGGACACCTCTGCTTGAGACACAGAGAAGTCATTTTCTGCTGCATTGGCTGCTTTTAATGAAGCTACCTGGCGTTCATAGTCCATCTGATAGGAGAAAGAAAAATGTAACTTCAAAACCACTGTCTGCCAGATTCCTATCTCCATGACAGAGTCCAATGGCATCACTGAGATACAGTTCATCAAACAGTTCTTTTCTTATCCCTATTACTTTACTTGAAGTAGCCTCCAAAACTTTCCCTCCTCCCTGCCCATGTTTCCTAGTTGAAAAATAAAATCTCCATACCTTTCTCTACTCAGAAGCCAAGGTCTTACCTGTTTCTTCAGTTTTTTCTTCTCTTTTTTGCTAAGCTGAGCATAAGGATCATCTGCCTTAGGTTCTCCCTTGTCTTCCTCATCTTCCATCTCTTCCTCCAAATTCTAGAACCAGAGATTGACAGAAAACTAGAGCCCCCCTTCTGGAACTCCCTGGCCTCAGTAAGCTCTCGCCTTGTATATTGTTCTACCAGGATGAACTAGCTCTCATATCCAAACCCATCCACCCCTACCTTGCCACATTCCATTCATCATTTGCCACAAGAAATGGTACAAGATAAATGGTATGTTGTTATTCTGTGCTGTCAAGTCAAGTATGACTTACAGCAACCCTGTGAACAAGACCTAAGCCTTGTCTTATCCTGTGACATTCTCATCAACTCTGATACACTTGAGCCCATCTCTGTGTTTTAATCATCTCCTTTGCTAACTTTCCACCTCTCCAAGTATGATGCCCCCCTCTCAGAATAGATTCTCCTAGAAACATGTTCAAAGTATGAGAGAAAAAGCTTTGTCATCTTGCTTCCAAAGGAGCACGCTCACTGCACCCTTTTTTAAGACATTTGTTTTTCTTTTGGTAGTCCATGGGATATTCAGTACTCTTCTCTACCACCACAGCTCAAAGGCATCAATTTTTCTTCCGTCATCCTTATTAACTGTCCAACTCTCAGATGCAAAGCAAGTGATTGAAAAGGCCATGGTTTGAGTCAGGTGCACTTTAGTCTTCAGACTAACATCATTGTTCTTCAGTACCTTAAAGAGACCCCTGACAGCAGACTTTCCCAGTGCAATACGTTTCCTGATCTCCTGACTGCTAATACCAAGGGAGTTGACTGTAGATCCAAGCAAGATGAAATCACCAACAACTTAAGTACAAAACATAACACTGTATATACAAGCTGTTGTTACTGTGTGCTGTCGAGTTGGAAGTGACACATAGCTGACCCTCCAGCAGGTTTTCAGAGGCACTAAATCACCTGGGAGGAGGCTGTCCATTTTTTCTTGCAGAACAACTGGTGGATTCAAACTATGTGCCTTTGGGACTACAGCATATCTTCTTAACACCAAAGCTCCCTGTATATGTAAGTACAAACACCAATACAATGTATCTGAAGTTGGAGCAAACAGAACAAGCTCTTTTTCTCATTAATCAAATGACTTACAGTAACTTAGAAATTAATTAGGCAGATACAATATACACAGCCACTGAAAATACCCAGCACAATTATAAAATGAAAGTTATTAGAATTATAAGGCATGCCTTAGATGGAAAAAAGATGGAAACTGTCAACAACTTGATCTTACTTGGATCCACAATCAATAAATACACTCTGTACCAGCAGGAAGGGGATCAGGAGATGTACTGCACTAGGAAATTTTGTAGTCAGAGACCTCTCCAAATTATTGAGGAACAACGATGTCAGTTTGAGGACTAAAGTGCACCTGATTCAGGAATGGTCTTTTTAGTCACTTGCTATGCATCTGAGAGCTAGAAAATGACTAAAGATGACAGAATAATTAACATCCCAATGATTGCCAAAAGAACAAACAAATGACTTGGAGAAGGTTTAGCTCCAGCTCCTTGGGGACAAAGATGATAAAGTTTTGTCTCATATACAGTGGGCATGTTGCTAGGAGAGATTATTCATTGAAGAAGGACATCATGCTTGGAAAGACGGAAGGATGATGAAGGAGAAGACCCTCAACCAGATGGATTGACACAGTGAGTACTGCACTGGGCTTGAGTGTGTCAGAGATTATGAGGATGGCACAGGATAGGACAAGGTCTGACCTGTTGTTCACAGGGTAGCTCTGAGTCTTATTGACTCGATGACACCTAACAACAGTAAAAAGCACAATTCCCCATATTATGGAGATATGGTAACTTCAGGTGAAAAGCAGTATTCAGTGTCAAACAGACAATGAGTGAATGGCAGAGACAACATCCAGACCACATGAGATTACTTCCAGAGCTCTTTCCTATCTACAGCACAGTTTGCAAACTATGATTCATGGGCCAAGTATAATCTGATGCCCATCCTTATGTAGTCTATATATTAAGAATGTGGTTGGGTTTTTCCCAGGAGCACTGCCCTAATTTAAAGACTTCATTCAGGAAAGGGGACTGGTGCCAGTGTTGGCTGGGAGTCGGACTGCGTCGTCACAGGCATCCTTTTCAAATCTTAGCTCGCTGTTAAAGTCTGAGTTGAAGGAGTTAAAACGCAGACTCAGGGTTTGCTGGTTGAAGTCGTAGAAGGAGGCATGAGTCTACAGGAAGTCGTGTCCCTCTCCTTGTTCTGATAGTAGCTTTTTAGCCCCAAGTGTCTCTGCAAATATAGTGGCTCCAGCACGTGCCCCTCACCTGTCAACAACGGATTCCATCTTTGTTCCCTCACACCTTTCCATCTGGAGGCAGATTTCCCCCCCTTTTTCCTTTAAATACTTTACCACAAAAACCAAGGTGAAACAGCCAATTTATAAAATACCACATGTAATGAGAACTATTTTTTGCTTTTCAGCTGAAATAATAAATACCTCCGCACAAACTAAGAAAAAAAAAGAATGTGGTTGGGTTTTTCTTTACATTTCTCAAAGGATTGTAATAAAATAAACAGGCAGAATATATGACAGATATATGTGTCCAACAGAGGCAAAACATATTAATTATCAGGCCCCTCTCAGGGAAGGGAGAACGAGAGGGGAAAAAAAAAAGGCAACAATTCCTGCTCTAGATAACACCCACACTCCCAGATCTGGTGCGCTCATTAAATGCCACATCTTACTCCCTCTTCTCATTTCTCCTTCAAAACCAAAACACTTACCTTTTCTGCTTTCTTGCCTTTCTCCTTCCCCTGTTTGGGTGGTTCCTTCTCTTTCACAATTTCTTCTTCTTCATCCTCCTCTCCACTGTCCAGAGCAGCAAATTTATTTTGAGGCTACCAGAGACAAGACAGGAGTTCTGATGAGATGCTGGAATTCGTAAGAGTCAACACTTCATCTTGCCAATTAATTGCTCCCTCACCTTGGCCTTCCCCTTTGGCTTTTCTTCCTTTCCCTTTTTGCCTTTGAGCCCAGGCTGTTTTTCCTCAGATACTGCCTGAAGGGAAACACACAGAAAATTTGTTAACCTCTTGTTTAACAAGCACCTGTAGGGGATCAGTGTATTATGTTCAAATTAACACTACTGGACAGCGATGGGGGGAAAGGAAACCAAAAAAAATTCTAGCCTCCAGGATAACATATAATGAAGAGGTAACTATAAGCAAAGCCAGAGACTGTAAGTCAACCAAGAGAGCATTATGGGCAGGACAGTACTAGTCGTTAAAGGTTTTTCTGAGACAGGCTCAGGAGACAGAGGAAAACAGAGGCATAAAGACCAAAAGCAGAGACACAGTCAAACCGATGTCAAGGTATGGCCAGGATAATCTGAGACATAAGTGGAAGAAACCAAATCAGGGGAGCAGAAGGATCCAAGTGAAAGAGCAAAGATTCAAAGCCTCTGTTTTACATTTTTAGTTGAAAGGCAATAGAGTCACTGCTGATTACTAAGCAATGAAAAAAGCATTTAAACAGGAAAAATAACCACCGAATTTTCATACCAAAGTCAGAAGCCATTAAATGGAATGAAGTGTCTGGCAAACCCAAAAGTGGTACCTTATTGATCCGATTCTTTTCCGGCTTGGCAGGCTTGGGAGGACGTTTTTCTTCCTCCTCCTCCTCTTCCTCACTCTGATCCTGAATCAAGGCTGCAAAAGCATTACCACTCTGGAGAATGGAAGAGCAGGAGTGGTCAGTGGGGTCCAGATTGTACCCCTGGGGTCTGTTTACCACACAGATGCCTTACCTTGCTTTTCTTCCCTCCTCGGGGTACTGGAGCAGGTACTGAAAAGACAGAGAAGAAAATGAGATAGAAAAGGGAATTACAATGCCTGTCTCTTTTACTAGTCCAACACACAGACCCAAGATACTTTATTCTTCGTGACAAACAGATTCCAGGTGCCTAATTCTCTCAGGTCAACTCACCCTCATCCTCCTCATCACTCGCTGGAACTGAGAGTTTTTTAAGACGTTCCATGAGTTCTTTCTCTTCTCCATCATCGTCCACATCCTTTTTCCGCCTGCCTTTCCGAGTGTCTCGCTTCTTTTTTTGCTGCTGAAAGAAAAAGAATAAGATAATTAAGACCAGCCCTTTATTTCTGCTTGACAATGTGTTATCAACAAAGTAAGCAAATGTACGTTGGGTAGGGGCCAGTGGGCTCAAGATGCAGCCCAGAATTGGTAGATTCCATTACACTTGTACCTGTTGTTGTTGCTGTTGTTGCTGCTGCTGCTCGTTCTCCTTGAGTGCTTTCTCTTCTTCCTCAGCTTGTTTATCTTCTACTGCCAGCTCTTCAAAGAACTATAAAGGGAGTCAAAGTACACAGAGACGTGATTCAGAGATTAACTGAGCCCTCTTCTGCCATACATGCTGACCAACCCTCCACCCGTGCTGCCCTTGTCTATTCTAACAAAATCTCTTCTCCCTCAGGCCTCCCACTTCATTTCCAGAGCCATCTGTTTTATTCAGAAGCACTCATATTCATTTCTTACAGCCCAAATTTCCTCACCGTCTTTTTGGTCTTCTTGTCCTTCTTCCCTTTCTTCACCACTTTTTCTAAAAGGTTAAGCAAATGTTATGAAGAACAGTTAACTACAAATGCAAAACCAGCCTGATTTCCTGCAAAGCACTCAGTGGCCTCCACAATATTTTACTATTTCATTCCTTCAGCTCAACTGTCACTCCTCAGATGCTTGCATTGTTCCACAACTCCTGCAGAAATAACCATTCATACCTTCATCCACTCATCAAATACTTATTTACTAACCAGCTACCACATATGGCACTGTGTTAGTACTGGGATACAGCAGTGAATAAAATGACTATGGTTTTGTTTGGAGCTAACAGACTTTAAGGAAAGATTTTCAAACTTGTAATTATAAATGAGCTGAATGCTCCCAAAGGGAAGGTAAAGCTTGTGAGGGGCTGGGGGCGGGGTGGTGGTGGTCGTGGTAGTGTGTGTCAGTGTGGATCTCAACTCAGGTGTCAGTACTATCTGAAGAAATTATATTTAAGCTAGCCCTTAAAGTATGATATATATAAGCCATTAGCCAAGGCAAGGTGGATTCCAATGCTGCAGAGACAGGGAAAATCCTAAACATAAGCCTACTGTGAGAATATATACTCACCGAGAAAAAGAAAAAATGTTCTAAATGTATAAAGCTTAGAAACTGAGGAGACTGGGTTAGGGTGAAGATGGAATGGAGGGCTTTCTAAAGTAGATTAAAGAATGGGGAATTCATTTGACATAGTCATTTCTACACCTAAATTCACTATAGTATCACAGTGCAACAAGGATGTGGGGCAACAGGTATAGAGAGAAATTCCTGACAGAAATCAAAGAAACAGATAAAGGAAGACTGGTCTAAGACAGTGGTAGAGGGAAAGAAAAATGGCAGACTTCACAGGGTGGAGACAGAGATGGGAAGGTGGAAGAGATATGATGATTCAACTAAAAAATGATTTTTTTTCTTTTTTTTATTTTATTATTTTTGTGTGCGTGTACCGTCAAATCAGATCTGACTGGTACAGGAGGAGATTGTCCCTCCTTCACCCGGCAGAGCATCTGGTGGATTCGAACCGTGTGCCTCTGGGATTGTAGTTGCAGCTCCTTGCCACTAGGCCACCAGAGCTCCCCTTAAAAAATGATTTCTATGTTTCCAGTTGACAAAAACTATGTAATGGAGTAGTATCATTTGCTCAGCATACAGACTGAAAGGGTATACTGGACATATAACCCTGATGTATTCTTTACAGATTTTAAACCATGTATTATTTGCTTGACCACAAATAACTACTTTGTGGTGCATACACAGGTTCCACATGAGCACAATTAAATATTCAGATCTATATGAAGAAAGTTGCATAGGACTAAAGGAATACTCATCAACAAACTGTGATATGAAGGTTACATAATCTTGCTTGCTAAAAGAGGACTTGAATCAGTTACTGAAGATCAAACATTGTAATCTTCAATATAGATCCTATGTCAACACCAAGAAAACAAAAAAATTTCAAAATTGGACCAAAGAGCAACATCATGATAAAAAGAGAAAAGATTTCATTTTACTCAGATTCAAAATAAGCACCCATGGAACAACAGTCAAGAAATCAAAAGGGTTTGAGTGTTGTTATGTGCCGTCAAGTCGCTTGCGTCTCATAGCCCTATGTACAAGAGCCCTAAATCCTGCTCTAACCTGTGCCAACCTCACTGTTTCTGACACACCTACTCCCATTACTCCAATCACTGAATCGTTACATCTCACCAAGGGTCTTCCTCTCTTGCACAGTCCCTCCCCTCTCTAACGACTGATCCCCTCTTGCAACATGCCAGAAGTATGTCAGATGAAGCTTCAGAATCCTTGCCTCCAAGGAGCAGCCTGGTTTTACCCTCTCCAGGACAAGCCTGTTTGTTCTCTTAGCAGTTCATGCTGTATTCAACACTCTCCTCCAGCACCACAGCTCAAAGGCATCAATTCTCTATCATCCCTAGTCACTATCCAGTTCTCTAATGCATAGCACACAATTGCAAAGCCTACGGACCGGATCAGGCACACCTTAGTCTCCAGCTTGACATCGTTGCTCTTCGGTACTGTGGAGAGGTCTTTGAGAGCTGACTTTCCCAATGCAATTCATCTCTTGATTTCCTGGCTTCTGGTACCAAGAGTGTTGACTGTGGAACCAAGAAAATTAAAATTGTTAACTATCTCACTCTCTTCACCATCCATAATAATGCTGCCAATTGGGACAGTGGTGAGAATCTTGTTTTCTTGATGGTGAGCTTCAATCCATTTTGAAGGCTGCAGTCCTTGACCTGCAGCAAGTGCCTCATGTCCTCCTCTGTTTCAGCAAACAGGGTCATGTCATCTGCATAATGCAAGTTGTTGATCAATCGTCCACCATTCCTGATGCCACATTCATCCTCATAAAGCCCAGAGTCCTGGATGATCTGTTCCGCATACACATTGAAAAGGTATAGAGACAGAATACGTCTCTGGTGGACACCCTTCCTAATTTTGAGCAATGCTGTGGCTCCCTGCTCTGTTCTGACGACTGCCTCTTGGTGCAAGTATAGGTTTCGCATAAGCACAATCAAATGTTCTGGGATTCCCATTCTTCTCGGAGTCAGCCGTGCCTTGTTGTGATCCACATGGTCAAAAGCCTTTGTATAGTCAATGAAGCACAGATAGACATTCCTCTGGTACTCTGTTTTCTGCCAAGATCCATCTAACATTAGCTATATAATATCTCTAGTACCATGGCCTCTGCTCAACCTAGCCTGCACATCTGGCAGTTCTCTGCAATAAAAAAGAGGAAGACCCTCAAGGAAATGGACTGACATAACAGTCAGTGCAACAATATGGGAATAGGTACACCAGAGATTATGAGGTTTGGGAAAGTTTTGTCCTGTTGTACACAGGGTAACTATTAGTGGGAGCCAACTCGATGGTACCTAACAGCAATACCATTTACTGAAATAGGAAATAGTGAAAGAGGAGATCCCTGAGCACTATCTCTGAACTGCCTCTGCCCTCTATTCCCCACAGAGGGAGAAAAATGTGCCTAAGTCCGTTGAGAAATGTTGTGCTACTTACTACCTGCAAGCCAAGTAGAGCTGTCTGGTAAATAAATGAACATCTGGGACTTTGTTCCTCCTCCTCTATTCATACATTACATACAGCAGATATCACACTGAGTTATGGTCAACTGTGTGCCAATCTTTCAACAAGAGTACAACCTGAGAGACTGTTTAGACCACTGTTTTGATAGGCAATTACAATGCAAGTCAATTAAAGTTTACTAACTGAACAAATTTTAATCCTTTTTATGCTTCCATTTCTATTTTCCTGAAGGTATTTTCCTTTCCTCCACCCTAATCAGATAGGGAGGCAACTGAAGTCTCATGGTTTCTCTTCATGCACAGAACTACATACCCACAATCATCTTCCTCTTCAAACACTCTCATCGACGACTACCCATACCAACCAAAAACATTCCTATAACCATTAAACTTTTTTTCAGTAAGAAAAAATGATGATAAATTCTTACTGCCTACCATTTTAATTATAATCTTCTCAGAACAGAATTTTATGTATTACATAGTGCATTGTTTCTGTGATGCTACACTGTAAGACTGATGTGTCAAATTCTAATGGTTACTCATGGTGGACAGTGTTTGGTGGAGCTTCCCGACTAAAACAAGCTTTGAAGCAGGAGTGGCATCCACTTCTGAAATGACTTTCTTTTGGAAACTCTTCTGGTCTTCCATTCATAGGGTCACTATGAGTCATCTACGACTCAAAGGCACCTAACAACAAAAACAACATGGTAATCTTTATTCAGGAAGTTTTATTATGCATCTTGGAGAGGGACATCATGCTTGGGAGGGTGGAGGGACGGAGCAAGAGGGGAAGACCCTCTATGAGGTGGATTGATTCAGTGATTCAGGTAATTGGGATGGGTGTGTCAGAGGCAGTGTGATTGGCACAGGACAGAGCAGGGGTTAGGGCTGTTGTACATAGGGTTGCTATGAGTCACAAGTGACTCGATGGCACATAACAACAACAACAACAACAATATTTCAAACACTGGAAGTAATGATGGACAAGCTCCATAATTTAGGGCTTCATTGACTAAATGAGCTCTCTCTTATCTTTTCTACAATATCTCTCAGTTTCTTCCCCCACATCTACCTTCTGGATAAACTGGATACTCTCTGCTCCCAAGTATGCATATGTCTGTTATTGCTTAATCTGTGTTCTCTATCCAGAACATCTTTAAAAATCTAATCTTGGTGTTACAAGACAAATGAGAAGGGTTCAAAGATCTATAAGAGACAGATAATGAACGGGTTTATATGCTATTTCAAGGAGTTTAATCCTAAAGACATTAAAAGCCAAGACTCACTGAAATACCTGAGTGGCACAGCCAGTTCACCTGGACAAATCTGAGTGACTCATCTCAGACACTATTTTCTCTCTAACATCTAATCAAAACCAGCTGAATCCAGTCAACTGTGACTCATGGTAAATTTCTGTAGTCAGAGTACTACGCTCTATGTAGTTCTCAATGACTGCCATCTCAGAAGTAGATGTTCAGATCTTTATTAAGAGGTGTCTCCAGATGGACTTAAACCCCAAACTTTTCTGTTTGCAACACTTCGGACACTTTAATCCTAAACCAAAGAAATAAACTGCTATCAAGTCAATTCCAATACACAAGACCCACAGGACCAAGTAGAATTGCCCCTGTAGGATTTCCAAGTCTATAAATCTTTATGGAAGCAGAATGTAACATTCTTCTCTTATAGATTTCTATAGGTTCAAAGTTTAATCACTGAGATACCTCACCACTGGACCAATGGACAACATTATGACAGACAGATAAAGACAGAAATTGTCAACAAGTTTATCTTGCTTGAATCCAGTTAACACCAGTGCTAACAGCAGTCAGAAGATCTGGAGCTATATAACACTGGGAAAGTCCACTGTCAGGGACCTCTCTAAAGTCCTGAAGAACAATGTTGGTCTAAAGAATAACAAGATCCTAATTCAAAGCCACAATCTTTCCAATCAGCTGCCATGCATCTGAGAAATGGACAATGAATAAGGATGACAGGAAAAGTATGGATGTCTTTTTGAGTTGCTATGTTGGAGATGTTAGATGGATCTTAGCTGAAAGCAGAGAATACCAGAAGAATGTCTATCTGTGTTTCGTTGATTATGCAAAGGCATTTGACTGCGTGGATCATAACAAACTGTGGCTGACTCTGAGAAGAATGGGAATCCCAGAACATTTAAT